ACACACACAACACACAATACAAAACACACAAAACACGCACACACACACACACACACACACTCACGCACTCACGCACGCACGCAAGCACACAACACACACACACACGCACGCACGCACGTACGCACGCCAGCACGCACAACACACACACACAACACACACACACACACACACACACGCACGCACGCACGCACGCACGCCCGCCCGCCCGCCCGCCCGCCCGCCGCCCGCCCGCCCGGACGCACGCACGCACGCACGCACGCACGCACGCACGCACTCACGCACGCACGCACGCACACACACACACACACACACACACACACACACACACACACACACACACACACACACACACACACACACACACGCACACACACAAGCACGCACGCACACACACACACACCAAAGCACACCAAAACGAAAGGATCTCGTCTCGCATCCTCTTCGGCCGTTTTTTGTCGCCCCTAAATTGCGCAGCGATTTGGGGGGCAGTGAAATTCGAGGAGCACACGGACCCCATGCCTCTTGGCATCATGGCCTCTGTTCCTCTTAGCAGCAAGCTCGCGGCAGCGAGCGCTCCCTGGGAGTTCCCGTGCTTGGCTCCTCGGGATGTCCTGTGGCCCCAGCGTTTGTTGTTTTTCCCACGCTTCGCCGTGGGGGGCGTCGGCCGGTCGGTCGGTCGGTCTGTCTGTCCGTCCTGTCGTCTGTCTGTCCGTCTGTCTGTCCGTCCGTCCGTCTGTTTGTCTGTCTGTCCGTCTGTTTGTCTGTCTGTCCGCTCGGCGCTCGGGGCTGCGAGGTCCGTCTGGCAGCTCTCCTCGGTGGCGATCACCAGAGACAGGTTCGGGGCTCAGAGAAAGGGGCGACCTGGGGCAGGTGTGCTCGGTCCAGTGGTCGCCCTGAGGATTCTTGTTGGCGGCGTGCATTCGCGTCGCTTGGGTGCGGTTTTTGCGCATGGTTTGCGCGCCGGAAGGCCGCCTGCACGCTGTTTGGCCCTCTGCGCGGAAAGCGCATGGTCGCCGGTTTGCGCGCCGGAAGGCCGCCTGCGCACTGTTTGGCCCTCTGCGCGGAAAGCGCATGGTCGCAGGTTTGCGCGCCGGAAGGCCGCCTGCACACTGTTGGGTCTTCTGCGCGGAAAGCGCATGGTCGCGGGTTTGCGCGCCGGAAGGCCGCCTGCACACTGTTTGGCCCTCTGCGCAGAAAGCGCATGGTCGCAGGTTTGCGCGCTGGCAGGCCGCCCGCACGCTGTTTGCCCTCTGCGCAGAAAGCGCATGGTCGCAGGATAGCGCGCCGGGAACCGCCTGCGCTGCGTGGCCCTCCGCGCCGAAAGCGCACGGTCCCAGGTTTGCGCGCCGGAAAGGCCGTTCGGCCCTTCGCGCGGAAAGTGCATGGGTGCAGGCTGGCAGGCCGCCTGCACACTGTTTGGCCCTCTGCGCAGAGAGTGCATGGCTGCAGGTTTGCGCGCCGGTAGGTAAGCCGCCTGTGCACGGCCATTGCAACTCTGTGCGCGTGGGCGCCAGAGCAGGCCCGAGCTCGAGCCAGGCTGCGTTCGTGAGCACGGGCCACGCTTGGATTGCGGATCTGGGCGCGCGGGCGCTGGGGCTGCCCGGGGCCGCTTCAGTATGCTATTCCCGGCGCGCCGTCGCCGGTGAGCGCGAAACCGTGCTTGAGTGCGGGCGCCGGTAACTTGGAATCACGCTTGCTATGTTGATGCTCCTGCGTGCTCAGGTTGCGGATTTGGGCGCGCGAGCGTTGGTAGGCGTCAAATTGGGCTCAGAAGGTCGTTCCGGGCGCGCTGTCGCCTTGGAGCACGAAACCGTGATTGCAAATCTGGACGCGCGGGCGCCAGCGACCGGAAATCGGTCCCGCGGGGGAGCATGGCAGACGAGAAGCTGCCCGCTCCGTTCAACACAGGAGGAGGGGGCAGATGAGAAGCTGCCCCGAAGATTCGCCCAAACAACCTCGGACACGGAGGAGAGCGGCAGATGAGAAGCTGGTTTCTGGGCGGCCCGCGAGGAGCACAGCACGCATTCCTGGGCGGCCCGCTGGGAGTCCACGAGCGGCCCGCTGGGAGCTCGTTGCGTGCGCGTCAGGGCGGTCCGCAAGACAAATGCGCATTCAGGGCGGCCCGCTGGGGGCCCACGAGCGGCCCGCTGCGAGCTCGTTGCGTTTGCGTGTGCGTCTGGGCGGCCCGAAGAGCTCAGTACGCATTCGGGGCGGCCGGCTGGGTGCGCGCGTGGGTCCAGTACGCGTTCGGGCCGGCCCGCTGAAGTCCCACGAGCGGCCCGCTTGCTCGTTACGGCTTCGTGCGTTTCAGGGCAGTCCGCGAGGGGCCCAGATGTGCATTCGGGGCGGCCGCTGGGTGCCCACGCGCGGCTCCTTTGGGGCTAGTTGTACAGTTGCGTGCCTTGCGGGGCGGCCCGCGAGCAGGTCAAATGCGCTTCGGGGCGGCCCGCTGCGTGCCTACGAGGGCCCGCAAGGTGCCCAAATGCTCATTCGGGGCGGCTCGCTGCAGGGAGCCCATCTCGTTGTTTTTGCGTGCTCTACAGAACGGATCTTTTGCAATCTGGCCGCGGGTCGCGCCGCGTTGCTTTCGCGTAGGGGCGCAGGGGCGCTTGAACAGGCCGTCTGCACTCCAGCTTGGCGAGTTGGGCGCGGAACGCGTCTGGCGCAGGTTTGCGCGCGGAAAGCCGCTTGCACCTCTAGTCTCGCTGTTTGTGCGCGGATAACGCCAAAGGCAGGATTGCGAGCCGGAAGGCCGCCCGCATTCCAGTTTGGCGGGCCGAGCGCAGAAAGCGTTTTGTGCAGGTTTGCAGAAGGCGCAGCGTGCAGTTTGTCAGCTTCAGCGCAGAAGGCGCAGTGTGCAGTTTCCGCGCCAGAAGGCTGGCCCCTGGCCAGGGGTTTGGAGGCCGTGGGACGCTCGCGAAGCGCTGTGGACGCTCGCCGCGTAGCGCTGTCATTGCGCGCCCGCAGGCCGCCCGCGGGGCGCCAACGGGATGCGCCCGCGGGCGCTCGCGAGCTGTTCGCGGGGCGCCCGCGGACGCCCGCGGAACGTTCGCGGCGCATCCGCGGGACGCTCACGGGGCGGGGCGCTCACGAGGGGCGCTCGCGAGACGCTTGAGCGGCGTCCGCATGGCAGTCGCGCGCTGCCTGCAGGGCGTTCCTGGGTTCCAGCAGGACGCCCGCGTGGCGCTCGCGAGGCGTCTGCGGGCCGCTCGCTGTGCGCTTGCGAATCGCCTGCGGGTCGCTCGCGGGGCCGTCCGCAGGACGCTCGCGGGACGCCTGCGGCGCGCCCGCGCTCGCAGGAGGCTGGCGGGGCACGCGCGCGGCGCGCGCGCAGTGTCTGTGGAGGCGCCCCGCAGGGCGCTCGCGGGACACTCGCGCGGCTCACGCGTGGCGTCCGCGAGCCTCGCGAACCTCTCGCGGGGCAATCGCAGGACGCTCGAGGGGCGCTCGGGCGCGCCCGTGGGACTTATGAGGGCGCTCGCAGGACACTCGCCAGGCACTCGCCGGGGCGCCTGGGCGTGCTCGAGGGTTGCTGGCGGCGCGCTCGCGGGACGCCTGCGGGGCAATCGTGAGGCGCTGGCGGGGCGCCTGCGGGGCGCGCGCGTGGCCGTCATTTTGGAAAATGCGCGAGCTGCGCGTCGTTTGTACCAGGAACGGTGGGACGCAGCTGCCTGTCCGCAATCTTAGCGCGGAATGCGCCGAAGTCCGCGTTGGTGCCATGACGGCGGAACGCGCCTAAATTTTTCAATTGGACGCGGAATGCGTCGGTTAGCGCGTTTGCTCCGACACGGCGAAACGCGGCGGGGCGTGCAGCTTGAGCGCAGAATACGACAAAGTACATGCTGGCGCCAGGACGGGCGAGACGCGCCCGCATCTGTAATTTTCAGCGCAGGATGTGCCAGACTTCGCGTGCACCCCGGCGCGGCGCGCCCAACCCAGGTTTGGAATATCTGCGCGGAATGCGCCGGTCTGCGCGTTTGCCCGGGGATGGCGCATCGTGCAGGACGCGCAATCTGAGCGCACATGCGCCAATTACGCGTGCGTGCTGGGGTGCACGCAACTGCGCTGGAATCAGCCAATTGCGCCCAGCCCGGCGGTGCGTTTTCGCCACAGCGGCAGCGATAGATTCGGAATCTGAGCGCGAAGCGCATGGTTGTGGCAGAACGCATGCAATCTGGGCGCGAAATTGCAAGCCGAAGAGGCGAAGAGCGCGGAATGCGCAAGATTGCAGAGGTGCTGGAACCAGTGCAAGCGCGCCGAGCTGCGGAATCTGGGCGTCGAACGCTTGAGTTCGCAGGTAGACGCGATTGCGCGGCCGGATTGCCCATTGGAGCGCAGGATGCACGGCGCTGGGCGAAAGCGCGCCCGATTGGTATCGAGGCGCGTATTGCGCTGCAAGCACAGCGGCGCGGAGACGCGCACATCGGTTCAGGCGAACAGGCGATCGCCTGAGCAGCGCGTCGAGCGCGAACGCGCCCACAAGCAGGCCGCAGAAAGTCAACGCAGTTGCGATTGCGTCTGGTCTGTGCAATGGGGCCGCTTCCTTTCAGACACTTCCGCAATGCAGCTGTCCGGACCACCTGTGTGCATTGGGCGTCTGGGTATATCCCAGGATGGCCCCTGCCAGCTGCACGGAAGCTGGCCGCCCATTGTGCGCGCGGAAGCGCAGCGCCAGGGAGGGGCGACGCTGAATTTTAGTCGCCCCTAAATTGCGCAGCGATTTGGGGGGCAGTGAAATTCGAGGAGCACACGGACCCCATGCCTCTTGGCATCATGGCCTCTGTTCCTCTTAGCAGCAAGCTCGCGGCAGCGAGCGCTCCCTGGGAGTTCCCGAGCTTGGCTCCTCGGGATGTCCTGTGGCCCCAGCGTTTGTTGTTTTTCCCACGCTTCGCCGTGGGGGGCGTCGGCCGGTCGGTCGGTCGGTCTGTCTGTCCGTCCTGTCGTCTGTCTGTCCGTCTGTCTGTCCGTCCGTCCGTCTGTTTGTCTGTGTCCGTCTGTTTGACTGTCTGTCCGCTCGGCGCTCGGGGCTGCGAGGTCCGTCTGGCAGCTCTCCTCGGTGGCGATCACCAGAGACAGGTTCGGGGCTCAGAGAAAGGGGCGACCTGGGGCAGGTGTGCTCGGTCCAGTGGTCGCCCTGAGGATTCTTGTTGGCGGCGTGCATTCGCGTCGCTTGGGTGCGGTTTTTCCCGCCCACCCTCCCTGTGCGTCACGTTTCGCTGGCTGGGGCGTCTGGGTATATCCCAGGATGGCCCCTGCCAGCTGCACGGAAGCTGGCTGCCCATTGTGCGCGCGGAAGCGCAACGCCAGGGAGGGGCGACGCTGAATTTTACCCGTGCCTGCCGTTCCCTCTCGCCCCCCTCGCCGCGGTCGAGCTCCCGCGCGCGCGGGGAGGAGGAGGAGGGTGGAGGAAGAGGAGGAGGCAGTGCTCCAAGGAGTGGGCTGCAAGAGTCACCGGCAAGTCCTGCCGACGCTGGCCGTAGCGTCTGGCAGCCTGCCCAGAGAAGTCCGCACGCGAGTCTGCAACAAAGCAGCTGCACCAGGGCCACTAAAAGTCTTTGCCGACGGTGATCGCAACAGCTGGCCAGTCATTGATGAGCCTCTGCTTTCAAGCCTTGCGGTTCGCAAGCGCCCAACCTTCCAAATACTGAAAATACTTTCGCGTGTTTATCCATCCTCGGATTTGAACCCCCTGGATCCTTCTCAGCCTCCTTTTCAGCCTCCTCCTCCTCCTGCTCCCCCCCCTCCCCCTCGAGGACCAGGTGGGAAGCGATCCTCGCCGGAGAAGGAGGTGAGTCCTCGTCAAGCGGGGAACGATACAAAGTCACATAACGACTCAACCCGCAACTTCAATCGAATTGCCTTCTTGTTCTGAATGTCTCCCCGGTGCGTGTGGGGGCCCACACGAAGTTTCAAAAGGCCTCTTGGAGTGCCGTGGGCGAGGACGTCCGGAAGCAAGAGCCGTTGCACCCATCGTAATCAACGGATTCGGACAGCGCCACGACACACAACGACACGCTAGCACCTGGGGGGCCACACCAGGTGCGCAAACGTTGTGCCCGACAAGCCTGCACTGCACAGGGGCGACGACCACCCGCTGCAGCTGCATCCACGCGCTGGAACTGCTCGCTTCGCTCATCTTCGATCGCAGAATCTTCCATCGCGACATCTTACATCACGACATCTTCAATCGAGGCATCATCCATCGCGACATCTGTACCACCACTACGTGGAATTCGACAAGCGATAAATATTGCACGGCGACGCGGTGTTACGCGACGGCGTTCGCGGGCAGCTTACGCGGCACTCCTTACCTTCGCAGCGGAACCCAGCGGCAAACTTACGCGGCAAACTTACTTACCCAGGACGAAAGGGCGCTTACGCGCGACCCTGCGCGGGTAGGTTCCCCGCAACATCCCGCGCCACGTCGCCCGCATGCCATGATGTTGTTTTGCACTGCTGCGATGGAGAGATGCTTCCTGCGACGGTGCATTGGAAGGTCTCCCCATCGTACAACAATAGCCCAGTCCGTGCACGGGGGGGGTCTCCCTATTGCAAGAGCTTGCCGCCACGCATTGCAAACACATCCGCCACCGCGCCTGTGCGACAACAACATGAGCAAATACGGGATGCTTGTGTCGTGGGAATCTAAAACTCAAGGGCAACTCCCCTCCGGCGCGAGGGTCGAAGCTGCCCCCGCCAAGGGTTGCTTTCCCGCGCAGGTGTTCGGACTGCCAACGTCTCCGAGACGAGGAAAACGCCCCAAAACGAATGCCCGACGCCCGAAGTCCAGCCTAGCGCACCTGGACCTGGAGCTCCAACGTGTCCCCAATAATTCTGATGATGCGCCAATAAACCTCCACGAGGCGCATGAAGAGGCCTCCCGCGATACCCAGAGAAACTGATTACCCCTGGAGGTTCCCAACCCGTCCCCAATCGATGAAAACATGAGCTGGTCAACTCGGAGGCAAAGAATTATTGAAGTGTCAACGACTTCGTTATGGAAAATCTCCTGCAGGCTGCCCTCGCAGGAGCAAAGGGCAGCGACGTGAAGCCTGCTGCTGGGCCGGGCTCCTGGGCAAACGCACCAGGCCCACAGCCCAGCAGGACAGCCCGCAGAAGCAGCCAACCAAGACCCCAAGCCGCATTCGCGGCACAAGGGTGGCAGAGGGTGGGTTGCGGCGCCGCCAGCTCTCCGGTCCTGCGGGGGCCGCCTCGGTCCCGCCGCGGCGTGCCGCCAGCTCCCTACTCGTGCGGGACGCTGGGCGCCCTGCACCTCCTTGCAGAAAGGCTTCCCCCTGCTGCGGGCAGCCTTCTTCTGTGCCTTGCTGGCTCTTGCCCGAGCCGTTGACCAGCCAGCCAGCCAGGAGGAGGAAGGTGGAGGCGAGCGGGAGGTGAAGCCGCTCGGGCGTGTGAGCCGCACGCCCCCTCTTGGAGGCAACGAAGCATAGGGGAGTTGCTTGCAACCCACGGCGCTCCACGGCGCATTCATAGAGAATTGCAAAGAGGCAAAGAGGCCAGAAGGCGAAAGGCAACCATGTGGCACCGGTCACCTTGGGAGATTTTCCTGCCCCCCAAACCGCTGCGCGATTTAGGTGCTATGAAAATCTCCTGCAGGCTGCCCTCGCAGGAGCAAAGGGCAGCGACGTGAAGCCTGCTGCTGGGCTGGGCTCCTGGGCAAACGCACCAGGCCCAATGCACCCAGGGCCCAGCACAGCAGCTGCCATGGCACGCCTGTGTCTGAAACGCAGGAGGCCCAATGCACAGACAAGGCGTTGTCTGGGGGATGCTTGGGCTGGCCAGCGCAATGCCTGGGCGAGCCCGCGCCTGAATGCGCGGAGTCGCGCTCCAATTGCAGATCAGGGCAAGCCTTCGCTCGAGGATTCGCTTCCCGATTGCGAAACCGGGCGTATCTGCGCCCAAGTGTGCGGGATCGCTCTGATTGCAACTTCCAGCGCGGCTGCGCCCGAATGTGCAGAATTGCCCCGAACGCAGTATCTACCGCACCTGCGCCCGACAGCGCCCACGCGCGCTGCGATTTGGGCCTGCGCCCGAATGCGCAGAGTTGCGTCCCCATTCTGGTTCCAGGCGCGCCTGCGCCCGAACAGACAGAATCGCTGCGCCCGAGCGTCCAGAACCACGCCACGAATGCGAAATTCGGCGCGCTTGCACCTGAGTGCCGAATCCTGCGTTGGAAAGGACAGCCAGCGCGCCTGCGCCCAAATGTGCAAAATCGTACCCCGATCGGAATTCCAGACGCACCTGCTCCGTCTTAGGGTTCATTGCGATTCAGAATTCCAAAAGTACCTGCCCTCGGATTCCCGATCGGATTCAAGGTCCGAGTGCGGGTTCTGGCGCGCCTGCGCCAGCACGCGCGCCACTTGCAATCAAATTTACAAGATCGCTCCAACTCTTAAAACAGGACTGCCGCGCCTGCAGCCAAGTGTACGGAATCGCACTCCAGCTCCGATTCCGGACGCGCATGCGCCAGATCCGAATGTGATTATGAGCGCGTCTGCGCCCGAATGCGCGAAGTCGCGCCCCGATTGAAATCACAAACGCGCCTGCGCCCGAATTCGCTGACCACCACCTCGATCGCATTTTTCGCCCGCGCAATGGGACTGCAAATGCGAAACCGGGCACGCTTGCGCCCGAATGCACGGAGTCGCGCCCCAGTGGGATACGTGGCGCACGCGTGCCCGAATAACTGCACGGAATCGCGCTCCGTAACAAGTATTGGCGCGCATGCGCCCGAACGCGCACATCGCGTCCCGAGTGCGAAATTCGGCGCGCTTGCGCCCGACTGCGCCGAATCCTGCGCACAGTCGCGCCGAGGCGACGACAACCGGCGCGCCCGCGCCCGAATGTGCAGAAACGTGCTCCGATCGCAACTCTGGGTGCTCCTGTGCCGAAACATGGACTCAGGCTCGTATTGCGGGTTCAGACGCGCACGCAATCCGACTGCGATTCTGGGCGCGCTTGCATCCAGCGCTCTTGCGCCCGAATGCGCGGAATTGCGCTCTGATTAAAAATCTGGGCGCGCCTGCGCCAGAAACCAAGCAATCGCATCCGCCTGTGCACGGAAGCACTGAATCGTGCTCCGATGGCAATTTCGATTCCCTTTCTGCAATCACCACGATACTGGGAACGCCTGCGCCGGAATACGCAAAATCGCGCTCCCATCGCAATGCTGGGCGCGCGTGCGCCCGAATGCACGTAGTCGCGTCCCGATTGGTATCTCCAGCGCGCTTGCGTCCCAGTGCGCGGACTTGCGCTGCCATTGCGAGAAGGCGCGCTCGCGTCCCAATGTGCCAACTCCCGCGCCAATCGCAATCCCGGACGCTCCTGCGCTCAAACGCGTAGGTTCGGGATCTGATTGCGGATGCAAGCGCGTCTGCGCCTGACTGCGCTGAATCACCAGAATCACGTTTTTATTGCGCTCCGAGCCGCTTGCGACCGACAGCGATTCTGCGTGAGCCCATGCGCCTGCGCACAAACGTGCGCGCAATCTTCTCCGATTGCAATTCCAAGCGCCTGCGCGCCAGAATGCGCCGGATCGCGCTTCGATCGCAATTGCGAGCAGGCCTGCTTCGAAACCTGCGAATGTGTGCTCCGATTGCGGCTTCGGGCACGCCTGCGCCCGGATGCTCGGCAGCACGCTCGGATTGCCATTCTGGGCGCGCACGCGCCGAAATGCACGGAATCGCATTCTGAATGCGATTCCTGGCGCGCTTGCGTCCGAGTGCGCAGAATCGTGCTCCGATGGCGATTTCAGACGTGCCGCCAAACGAATGCGGTTTCCCGTGCTCCGATCGCAATTCCGGTCTCGCCTGCGTCCGAAGCTACGGAGGACGCCCTGCCCCCAGTCAAGCGCGACTACTGCCTCAGAAGCGAAGCACATTCGCAGTTACCGCTCGGCGCCGCGATAGAGGGAGTAAGAGAGACAATGATGAGCGCCACTTCAAGCGATCATGGTCCGAATCACCGCTCCTGCGCCAGATTGCACGGATTCGCGCTCCGTTTGCAATTTCTGGGCGCTTCTGCGGCGCGCATCGATTCCAGTTCCTGGCGCGCCGGCGCCAAATATCCCAGAATGGCGCACGCATCCCAATCCTAGGCGCGCCTGCGCCAGATCGAGCCGATTCGCGCTCTGCTTGTCCTGCGGTCCTGCGGGGGCCGCCTCGGTCCCGCCGCGGCGTGCCGCCAGCTCCCTACTCGTGCGGGACGCTGGGCGCCCTGCACCTCCTTGCAGAAAGGCTTCCCCCTTCTGCGGGAGCCTTCTTCTGTGCCTTGCTGGCTCTTGCCCGAGCCGTTGACCAGCCAGCCAGCCAGGAGGAGGAAGGTGGAGGCGAGCGGGAGGTGAAGCCGCTCGGGCGTGTGAGCCGCACGCCCCCTCTTGGAGGCAACGAAGCATAGGGGAGTTGCTTGCAACCCACGGCGCTCCACGGCGCATTCATAGAGAATTGCAAAGAGGCAAAGAGGCCAGAAGGCGAAAGGCACTCATTTGGCACCGGTCACCTTGGGAGATTTTCCTGCCCCCCAAACCGCTGCGCGATTTAGGTGCTATTAAAAACATGTGCATTGCGCCCGGCAAGCCAACAAATTGAATAGAACAACAACCAATCAATCAATCAAACAACCAGCCGGCAAACCAGC